GATAAAAATATGGAATCTTTTAAAAACAAGAATAAGTCTGATATCTTCACCATCAGCTTCACCGTCAAACGCCTTTTATTTTAGGAATAACTATAGTGACAAAGATTTAATGGCATATGCCAATATGGTACATCAAGATTCAGGAAACACACTAAAGACACCACAAAAACTGTTTAATGAAGGTATGAATTTTCCATGGCTGATGTACTCACACGTCGCTGGAAGAATAAAAGGTGACCTCAGGAAAGAAGGAGCGACTTTGAGAAAGAAAACAGAATTTGAAATACTTACAAAACAACCAAGGTCACCTATTTGAATGTATATACAAATTGCTCTTAAAATATGACATGGGGATGGAAGAAGTCCAAAACTGGATGATAAAATGGATCAAAACTTCAAAGTGATCATCACAGCACAGCGATGGGAAGAACTATGGAAAAAATCAATAAACTTTACTCCAAGTTATAATTTAAGGGGAAAGTGGTTTAAAATGTTTTACAGATGGTATATAACTCAGTTAATAATCACCAAGCAAGACAGATCACGTAAGAATAAATGTTGGAAAACCTGTAAGAAAGAACAACATTTTTTCCTACGTGGTGATGGAGTTAAAAAAGTCCTGGAAAGAAATACATCTAAATTATCAGGAAATCCTAAAAATAAAGTTTGAACTCCCCCCCCCCAATATTCTTATTTGGTATAATTCCAGAGAGCATAAATGAAAAATATAGCAATTGACTAAGAGATATGCTGAATGCTGCAAGAAAAAATTAGGAACAACACTGAAAAAGGGGAATGTTGCTGATGATATCAGATTGGGAAGCCAAAATTGGAGAATATGCAGCACTGGCAAAATTGACAGTTTATATCCATAACAGAAGTTTAAGCAAGAATGGCTCCCATCTATACTATACATTACACAGCAGGACAAATTTAGACATTTGGAATATTGTTTTTAGGAAGAAAGTTGTGAGACCAATAAAAAATAATTAGATGAAAGGATTTAAATAGACACTAGCAATACTGTTTAATGTTTAATGTGAAATATAAATATCTAGGTTGTGTTCAGCGGTTGGGGAAATCAAGGGAAGGGAAGGGGAGAACGTGTTATTAGAAAGTTTTCCCAGAATGTTTTTACTGATGCTTAGCGGTTGTTTCTTTTTCTCTTACTCAACCGTTACTATCCAGTGTCGATCTTTTTTGCTTTTATTATTCTTAGAATAACAAATCTCTTTGTTTTTTGTTTTTACATTTTGATTTTTCCCTGTTTGACCTTCAACATTAATCAACTCCCAGAATTCCCCCACATCTTAAAGTGGCCAAGTTTGAAAAATGGTGTGATGGGAGGATCTATCTCTATCAAGTGCTATCCAGTTCCTTGTCCTAGCTGCAAGGCAGTTCCTTTGCATAACCACATCATGATGTGAGTTTATGATTAAGCGTGGACTTCAACTTGGTTCACATGAGCCCAAACTTTATATTCTATCTCTTGGCCTCCATGGCAATTCATAACAAAGAGTTGTATGAATTCATTACAAGGGCCAGAATCACGCATCCTTAAGACTATTTTCTGAAAATGTATAGTTGAACAAGCTAATATGACCACACCCTGCTTTTTTTGTCTAGCTCACTTTTAGCTTAATGCAGACAATGAATTCAATAAACCCTGAAGTCTTGAATTCAAGTTGGTATTGTCTTAGCTTGGGGCTGGAAGCAAGTGCCCAGTTCATCTACCCCAAAGTCCTTTATGTTCTCTCTGACTTTTCCTCATGAAACCCAGAACTTATGCTCCTGTGAGATACCACCAACAGTGTTTCATTAACTGGGATCACATTGTAAAGGAGGCGGGATAGGTTGGCAGATGTTTTTGAAATTTGATAGCCATGGCCTGACTTGTTCAGTATTGTTGACAAAGGAAATAATGCAAAGACAAACAGTAGTGATGTGATGGAACGTATCTACGAGGAAAGTGATGTGGGAGATCAAGGCTATCAGGAAGGAGGGGGTGCATTCCAGGAGGGGGAAGGAGGCAAGAGGCAGCATAGTCCACAGGGGGAGTGTGGTAAGAGTAAGAGGTTCAGGGTAGCCACTCCCTAGAATCTCACAGGGTAGATCCACTAGTTGCTGTAGTATAGATTTAGTCTGGCAAGATTCTGCATAAGCAAATAAAGGAACTGTACTCAACTGGACTGTTTCATCGTTGTTCTTGGGCTGGGCCTGACAAGTGGTGATAGTGAGTCTCCTTGAATATTAACCTCTCCCAGTCTAGCCCCATTGACCAGCAACTGGGTCTTCCCTTGTGCCACGGATCTTTGCACAAAACTTCTGATGTTTCTAGTGACTCCTGTTATTTCTAGGCACTTAATTATCCAATCATGTGGCAGGGAGTCGAATGCCTTCTTGTAATCAGTCCAAGCTAGTCAAGTTGGTTTTCCTTCTCTTGCAGTTTTCCAAAATCATCTTGTCAATTAGGAGCTGATCTTTTGTTCC